GCACTACGTATATGGAAAACGAGTGCATAATATTCCTGTCTGTTTTTGAGCCAATCTACCTATATTCTGGAAAAGGAATTTATTTTTTAATTGGCAAAATAATAAAACTGACAATAATTTCATTGTTCTCCTACTGTTTATATTCAGCTTATTTACATTTGTTGCGCTACTTTATGTTGGTCCTACAATGAATTTTGATTTTTGGTACTTACTAATAGAAAGCCTACGAGCCTCAATTGACATCTTCTTAAAGGCGGCTGGATACCTGGATTGTGCAATCAGACATGTTCTTCCACAGTTGCCCACCGAGCTCAGGTTTCAGATATGATGCAACAGCACTCCTTTTTTTTAATTTTGGTAATCTCAACGCATTTTTTAATATTTATTGCTCCTTACTACTGGTTCTGATTTTAGGAGAAATTTACCAGTAGACCTAGCAGAAGGGGTTCTTAGGGCGCTGTGTCTACAAGCTTTAGGGCAGGTACTGCGATGTTTCATTTGTATGTACCTAAAGAAAGAATGATTATATATGCTGACTTTCATTTGGCATGTTCAAACTGGATGATGGCATACCTAGACTTAAGAACTGAAACCCTTTTATATGCTATTTAATGACCAAAGATCCAAAACTAATTTGTCTCTATGTCTAACTGCTAGCAAGTTATATCTGAATCAATCTTTGGCCTTCTCCTGTCTTTTAGGGTGGTTTTTGACTTAATATCAAAGCGTTTGGAACTGAACAGTCAAGATTTTGATACATGCCACTCCCATTCCCCTAAGTTAGTTAAATTAATTAAATATTAGTAAAAGGTTAAGGTGGGTATCTTCTTTGTTCATGGCTTACAGCCTAACATAGAACTCATGGATTAGAAGTCCTATAGATTCATCTTTATCTGACTCATCCACATGACTGGTACCAATACTCAGAGCACTAGAGAATGGCAATGTTCCATATGTAGATATTCTCTCTCTCTCTCTCTCTGCTTCAATTCCATTTGAATTTACATGTGTTAATTTCTTCCATTGGCATTTTAGGGTGTAGATATCCAGCTTGGAATGGCAATTGATGATACCAAAGCCACTCTTGCTGTGAAGCGTAGACTTGCATGTGAGATGGTCAAGTATTGGCAACAGGTACAAATGCTGGGGTTGCACTGTTATCTTTGCCTTACTGTTTGATTTTATCCAGTTGTGGAGTACCTAATCTTGATCGTTTTTCTTTCTATTCTTTTACTTGTTTGCAAGATTGCCAAATTTATCCAATAACAGTGTAGTGAGGCATATCAATGTGACCAACTTGTGTTGACCTCTCCAGATGTTTTTGAACCCTAAAGTCAAACCTCCTCTAGTTTCAAAATATCGCAATGAACATCCTCATTTTAGTGCAATTTTGCAGTTACTGATTTCACCTTTGGATGATTGTACCACATCAACCGTAAGTTTTGTTAACAATAATGTTAATAACATGAATGTAGTATTTGCGATTCTCTAATAGGTGTATTTAGGTCTTGTTTGCTTATTAAAAAGGAATGAAATAGATTAAAAAAATAAAAGTAAAAATAAGATGATCAAAGGAGATATGTGAGAACATTTATAAGGGGGAGGGATTATTTAGTTTGTAGGGTTGGGAATTATGATTTATGAGATTTTTGGAGGGTGTGATAATTCCCACATTTGTAGTATATATAATGAGTTTTATCATACTTATTATGGGGGGAATGGTGATTTAGTTCATTTTTATCTTGATTTTTTTAATCCATTCCTTTTTAGTAACCAAATGGGACCTTAGTCTTTGGTTGTGCTTATTGTATTGTGTCTTTGCACTTCCTTTCCATGTTTTTAGTTATATCTCAAATTTATCATGAGATTATTTAATTTATTTTTCTTGGCTTAGCTTTTACAACATTCTCTGCCTTTGCCAATTTTTTTTTTAACTACTTTATGGGAGTAGGTGGTGAATTAACAATTTTATGTGGTATAACATTTGTTTAACTTACATTTTACAGGCTCAAGACAACATTGTCAACCTTCCATTAGCCATTGGTTCGGGTGAAAAACACTGTCTTTTTGTGAAATGGAAGTATATTGAATCAAAGGTACATCTTTAATTAATTTTGTTTTAATTATTTCAAAACTTAAGCATGATAAGGTTATTTTAATTATTTCAATACTGAAAACATTTCAATTTTTCACTTTCGTCTCCCTCCTCCCTGCCATGATGATTGTGGATATGGCATACTATGTTGGTAGATTTTAGAGTTCTATCAGTGCATATCTGCCATATGAGCCCGTCAGATTATTTTAGTTTCATGATTAAATATATAGATTCATTTTCTTGTTGTTGTCTATTCACTAGAGTCCTAAAAAAATATTGCTCTTAATGTCTTATCTAACAACCCAGCATATATTTTGATTAATTAAATGCTCATATTTTGTTAACTCGGTAATAAATCTCAGTTTAGTTAATAAAATGCACAAGCTGAGATTGATCGGTCTTGTTATCTTATGGACTGGCCATGTTTTGATCTTGGCGGTTCTAAGCTAAGTGGATTTGTTATAAATTTGATTTTCAATGCAAGTAGTTTGACTTGATTGTACACCAAGTGTATAACTTGATAATAAAGCACCACCGGCACAGGTTTGTTCTGGTTTCTTCTGCTCTCAGCACACTAATTATTTAGTATAGTTATTCGAAGTGTTGATATCTGACCAGGCTGCGGCATATTATTATCATGGCTTGATTCTTGATGAGGGAAATACGGAGAAATCTCATGATCCAGCTGTAGCCGCTTTGCAAGCAGCAGATGAACATTTCAAAGAAAGTAGGAAGCTTTGTGAGGCATTCAATGCTGCACCTCCACTGTCAAGGTTATTATTTCCCTTATGCACCCTTTTATGCTTTATTTTGGGTTTTCAACGGGTTTATATATTTGGGTATTGCTTTTTGGGTTTTTGCTAAATGGACTTTGAACTACCATCTCATCTCCAACTCCAGGAAGTGCTGGACGTTGCACAATGTGCATGCTCTTCTTTAAACCCTGTTGAAGCTTTCTTTAGTTATATTCCTGTTTGCATGGTTCCCCAGGGCATGCACTTTGCAGAATGGCGCAGGTTGGGCTAGGGTTCTTTATTCTACAAGTCCATGCCCGTATTTTTGTTATTCTGATTCAAGGTTTGATAGTGGTTTCAATTCTTGAAGGAAACATCAATTTCACCCCCATTATGCATTTCAGTAAAATGAAGGGAGACAAACACCTACCTGTTTTAAGTTTCTGCCCTTCCTTTTTCCGTGAATATAACTTAGAGCCTTCAGAGCTGTCCAGTATCATCTATGCTTAGAAAGTAAAATAATCAGTACAGAATATGTAGTTATAATCTATCAATTCCTGGTGCATTTCTTGTTTCTTCTATTTCCTATTTGTGGAGGGATTGGAAGATAAATTAATGTTAGACATGTGCTTGTTCTGTTTTTTTTTTTTTGGAGAGGATTTTGCTCATATCATTCATATTTCCCTGCCATGTTTGTTGAACCTACTTCATTGATGTTCTCTGTTATCATCTCTTCACTTTATTTGTACTGTTCCTTTCATGATGAATAAAATAATACTAAAGGCAAGTGCGTTAAATGTTTTGTCATGGCCGACCATGCAGAATTCCACCACTTTGGGGCACCTTGAAATACCTATCTGAAAAAATTCCTAAGGATACTACAAGCAAGGTGCAAATAAATTGCGATCTCAACTCGTATGAGAGGTAAAATTTTCCAGATTTGATGACTGTTGCCTTACTTTTGTTTCGCCTATAATTATTGGTTGATTAAAAACAGTATGTTGGCTGATTAATTTTCCACTGTTTTCTACCTTTGTTACAGAATCACGGAAACAGCACCAACTTTGCCTGATTTTTCGTTGGCCTTGAAGCCGGACGAATATGAACTTCCTCAGGTGGATCCCTCCTGGACAGGGAGAACATAAAGGGGGAACAAAATGACCCTAACTATCTGAAGAGCGACAAACGATGAAGCCAAATAATTTGCAGATTACAGCCTCTTCTACAAAGAAGGATGTCTCTGGCCCAAAGAAAAAAAAAAAACAAGAAGGATGTCAAGGATATTTTTCACCACCAGAAACTAGCTCAAATAACAAGGACGTAGTGCGGTGTGGGTTCAGGTTCCCTCATAATGTAACAAAACGATGTATTTTTTATCTTTATCAACCGAAAAAGGTTTCCTTTTCTCTCTTTCTTTCCTTTTCTTTTTTTCTTATTTTTAGTTTTTGCAAAAATTCTTTTTACTTCTTGTTTTTCTTCATAAATCAATTTCCAGCTTGCCTCTACCACGAGAGTAACTTGTGTTCATAATGTGAATTCGTCTACCGCAGCCACAAAAAAGGGATTGCTTGCCGACTAAGTAGTTTCATTGCTATTTCAGTTCAAAATAAAGTCAGTCAAATTCTCCATTTGTTATGCTAAGTCTGTACAAACAATCCTTTGTGTGAAGATAAATCATTGTGGTCTCTTTACAGATCTTACCAAGTTTTTCAATAAAATATGTCGATGACTTTATTGAACATTCTTTATTGAACATCTAACATATCTTTTTTATTGTAAGCATAAAAGTGGAGATATTGTTGCAAAATTTTTGCCTTTTGGAGATAAAAATTTACCCAGGATGACAATAATTTTATATAATTTATGACCTTTAATTTTTAATTGATTTGCAAAATCTAAAAACTATTAAATTAATTTTTTATATAAAAGAAATTCAAATTGTCTAAATTTACTAAACGAAAAAAATTATTTAAAATGACTCATCTTTCCGCCTTAACTGGAAAAAAAAAAATCCGAAGTAAAAAAAAAATTATAAAACATAGGATTAGGACATCAAACTAAAATTAATCCAATCCCTTGAATCCCCAGTCTAATATTTTCTACAACTCTCTCACTCCATAATCTGATCCCCTTAAAATCAAAATAGGACTGCCCGAGTAGGAGAATAACGATTGGCTTAATGTTCGGTTGAGGCACCTTACTTCCTGGAAGACAACAAAAAAGAAACTACAAGAATAGTTATTTTTAAATTTGCTTCACAAAACATAATAAAAAACTACAAGAATCCATGATTTTTCACCTCTAAATTCTGAACGAGTAATATAATAGTAATTATACACCGCAAAAGTATGACTCAGCATTGGTACTGAGTTTTGCATGGGTCAATCAGGTTGGCTCGGATGCTACAATTTAATCTGCTGCGCCATTTGTATCATCTCCTTCAGTCAATAGCTGTTGCTTTTCTTGCTCCTCTGCAAGAAAGGAAAAATGCAAACCCAAGTATTTATAAAGCAAAGGCTCATAAGTCATTCAAAGGGATGTCTATAAAACATATTCAGATCCATGTATTAAAGAGGGGAGAGAAAATCAATAAGCAATTCAACCCTCAGTCATTTAGCCTAAATTTCAAAGTCTTTACACATGGTTGGCACGGAGCTAATTACTAATTAGCGAAAGTTCACGAATCATGACAAAGAACCGTTACCTAATGAAGAAATTGAAAAATTTAAAACTGCTAAGAACTCTCAAAATTGTAGGCTACAGCTATATGTCTCTCTGAGATTCACAACGAATCTGACTGAAAATATAATATAAACTATCATAATCAACCAAATCAACTATCATATAACAAGGAAAATCACTAAAATACCATATCAGTAATGCAGGGTTGTGCATATGACTGTTAACGGGAAATGCTGTAACTAAGTCCGAAACTGTCATGATGAGGGCGCCAGATAGGCTTAACGATTTGGTACATATAAAATCACTTTCCTTTCAATTTAGTCCTTCAAAAGAGTCCCTACAAAAGTATTTGAGGCTCTTTTTCAAGGAACTTTTAGATAAGGAGAAAGTGTTAAAAGGACTAGATTGAGAGACTCTTAGAGGGCCCAATCGAAAGAAGAGTGATCTTTCAAGAATTAAATCATTAATTTACTATTAATTTAAAATTCATGACATTGACATGATTCAAGTATTCATATTGATAACTAGCAAAACTAGGATAGTCAATACAAAGAGCCATCATGAGATTATGACCAACTGGAAAATGAGAAATCGTGACAATGCCAACCACTTACCCATAAGTTTATAGAGAGCCTTCTGAGTTCGTTTTTCAAGTTTATCAAGCTTCTTCTGCACATCTCTCCTCAGGTCCCAGTTTGGTTTCTTTGGAGCAATATTCAGGAAAGGATCCTGCAAGTTTGGCCTCAAATATATGTGTTGATATGCCACAAATAAATACTTAACTGATGAAAAAGAATAGACCACATTGAAACAAAACCAATGACCTCCTTCTCAGGTGGAGGGGCAGCAGCAACAGGGTCTTCAAACTTTGGTAGCACAGCAGGTGCAAGCTTCCCTTCCTGGAGGTGTTTGTCTTGAGGAACATAATTACGAAATTTCATGGGATTTCTGCCAAAAAAAAAATGACATGTCAGTTAAGTTAATAACACAAATATTCATCTCATATGAATTCCAAGTGATCATACGGAATTCAATAGACAGAAAATTTAAATTTTTTAAACCAATCTATATCAGAATGATTAACCAAACAGAAGTTAATCAATTCTTTAAGGTGTTCTGCCATCTAAATATGCAAAAACGTGTACCGGTATGTGATATTGTGATGTAAACTTTCTTCGCATCAAAGTATATAGTCATTTGACTTTTAAGGGTAGCCACAGTAATAAAATTTTTCAACTTCTTCAGAAAATACACGAAGCTTTGTATTTCACAATTTCCAAGGCAGGCAGAGAATCCCACCACATAAGAGGCCCTAAAGTATACAAAATTTTCCCCGTTTTTAAATAGAATAAGACTAAAAATGTCAAACATCCAGAGACTATCATCTTAATTCATCAGACACATCAAGATTATTGGTCAGAGTTAGGAGGCCACAGAAAATGTCTGTGGGAAGCAAGTACTAGTTTTGAAATATAAGTATAATCATATGAAGGGATTAAGACAAACTGGTCAGATAGGTAAATATATGACAGTGGAAACTTTATAATACCTTCAAAGCTGATCTTGTAATTTGTGTATGTGATGCTAGCATTTTGCACAAACAAATAATGCAACTTCTCTAAAGGGTACTTCCAAGCAATTTGATATCATATTATCTAGTTATCTAGATGTTAGTTTAGTAAACACTTGCTATTTGCTTGATTTGCCGACCAAAATTATTATGACACTAAAGACTAACTAGAGATTTTCCAGCAACTTTCTTGAAAACAAATCAAGCAACATCTGAACTCACAGCTACTTTGGTGTGTGAGTTCATGTCATCCCATAAAATCGTCATAGGAAACACGTGACCTAAAGAAACTTATGCTTCATTTAGATGTATACGGAATCAACATACAAATTCACTTGCAGTCAGATATAAAGGTATATACTTTTTTGTTAGTACTTACAGATAAAAGAGATAGAATTGCAAAACTCAAACAACTATCCAGGCCTAGCTTTTATAGTAATTCTTTCATCAAATGTAAAAGGAAAAAAAATAAAAAATGTAACAGTTGAATTTACTAAGATTTAAAACAATTTCATCATTCCCAGTCACAAAATGTGTGCTTAGACATATTTGAAGGGGAAGTGAGAATCAGAATAACAACTCTTGAATTAGAAATCAGAATATACATACTGCTCTTCAGTTGTTCCATCTTCATCATTCGTCTTATCATCAACTTGTGCAGAGTCATCATCAGGCGTGTTCATCAATTCTTGAGCAGCTTTAAGAGCCCGCAGCCTTTCTCGACGTGATGCAGCAGCTAGTTCAATGGAATCATCTTCATCACCCATCTTTACTTCAAAACTTCAAGAACTTCCAATTAAATCTAAATTCAAATTGAAAAGAGATCATTATTAGAAGCCTATGCTATTTCTATACGATTAAGTAGGCAAGAGAGAGAGAATAGAAGTAGAAGGAATAGGAGAAAGAGAGCCACTTAGAATTCAGAACTTCATCGTAAACTCACATAACTATTACCAAGTCTCAAGTAGATTACAAGCTAAATATACCCCCAAACATAACAAGTACTAACAACGATAACTACTTTCCTTCCCCATTCCCAGTACTCCTAACACAAACACCAGAGCAATGGTACCATGAAAAACCAGTAATTGAAAAATGAAATACATCCGCAGATCAGGTGCGTATCAGATACGTGGTACTTCAGAGGTTTTTCTTTCCTTAAAATAAAGGGATGGGCTTTCAAATACTAGCACTTAGACACACTGAGGCAGCGACACTCCGGAAATTCCAAGAATAGAAGAGGCGAACAGACTAAAGGAATAGACAGCGAAACGAAGGAAGCGCAGGGGGAAAAACTGGGGGGGTGGGGGACACAGACACACAGACACACACAAGGAAAAGAGAAAGAGAATGACATAAATTGAAAACCCAGCTGGTGATTTCCTTACCGATGAAAGTTGAGGTCCTGCTTAGAAAACTTCAAACTTTCAATTGTCCTGAGTCGCCGATCGAGTGGAAGCCTAACAAAAGGCCGTTTTGTTCCGGCGATGTAGGGCGGGGAACAGAAATATCCTTTCTACGTTTTTTTTTTTTTTTAAGAATTTGAAAACATTATCAACCTTTATGGATAGTTAACTAATTAATTTTAGGGGAAATCAGGCAAGTCTTGAAAAACTTCTTTTAAAATAAATTTGTGTAAAATTATCTTAATGCTCTTTTTCAATTTAAAAATTTATAATTTTTTAAATTGTTTTAGTTGTAATAGAATCAAACGATCCAATACTTTTATCAAATGTGTCAACAATATAAAATTAGTTAAATTTTTATTAATAAAAATTTGTATTTTTATAAATTATTTTAATTATTGATAAAACTAAATTTATTAATATTTATATTAAATTTATAAACCATATAAAATTAATTGAACTTCATTTATTAAAAAAACTGCCGATAAAAAATTATAATTTTTTAAATTATTTTAGTAATTGATGAAATCAAACTTGTAAATAATTATATTAAATTGGTGAACCATATAAAATTAATTATAGATGAGTACTAAAATAATTTTATATAAAAATTTAATTTTAAATCAATCTGCTAGAAGCTTATTGCCATTATCACATATGATGGAATCAATTTATCATTTTTTCATTTATGAGAGATTTATATGACATTTTTCCTTAAATTTACCTGAAAATAAAATAACTTTTTAATTAAAAATAAATTTTAATAAAAAATTATATTATATTCTCTCTTAATTAATAAATTCAAATAAAAATAATATTAAAAAATATAATTGATACTTATAGTATCTTATATGAATAACTAAAAAATATTTATATTTATAATCTTATAATCAGGCCTGAGAAAATATTTTACCTAATCAATTTTTCTTTTGCCAGCATTTTATCTAATCAACTGAACTGAGTCGGCGAGTCGATTAGTACCTTGTATGCGGTGCTCTGGAAACTAAGAAGCAAGATCGTGTGTGCAAAAGCTTTTTCTGAATTTTGATGACCTGACTTTTTTTTTCCTTACGTTATTTATAGTCTTGTATTTAAAAAAATTAAAAAATAAGTTAAAATAGTAAAATTTACAGTATTATCAACAATTTAAAAATATGATTTATTATGTTATTGGCTTAGGGCTTATAGATTGAGTTGAACAAATACATAACAGTTTAACTTTAATCCCAGTTGTTCTATCCTATTTCCTAAATAATGCTTTTTCCTCCTCATTTTTCTGGCAAAAAAAAAAAACTTTAAATAAATGAAAGCAAAAGGAGCAGTGTTGTTTTGCTGATGTCGCGGTGTGATGGTGTGATTGAGGCAAACAATGAAGGAGCAGAGAGATGCAGAAGTGGAATTGGCGAAGCAGAGATGCAGGTTCGTGATTGATAGAATTCAAGAGTTGCCTGCGTCCTCCAAGATCACCGACTCTTGCCGCCGCACCCTCCTCAAATTAGCTCGCTCCGAGCTTTCTTTCCTCTCTCGCTTCTCTTCTTGTTCTTCTTCTTCCTCTTCTGCTGCTGCTGCTGCTACTATTTCTACGCCTCTCAGGTTTGTCCCATTTTCCATATTTCTTTCAAACGTTTCCATCTGTTTGGCTGCTAGGAGAATTACTTCCAATATGACTGGTGAGGCTTTTCTCTTTGTTTTCTGCGTGGATAAGAACTGTTTTAGTTTTTGTCTGCTTGAAATGAAGAAAGTTTTTTATTCCCTTAAAAATCATTTATGTTAATTAAATTAATTAATGTCTTCCTGGATGAATAATATATTGAAGGAATGCGTCTTTTCTCTTCTTTTGTGTCCTTGCAAGCTCTTTTTCTTGGACAAGAATAAGTTTTTACGTGAGGAAAATTTATGAGATCCCATGTATTGATGGCTATCCATAAAGGTATCATCCTGTTAAAGGGGCAGGAATCATTGGGCAATTAATGGAAAAAGCGTTTTGTGAATGAGGATTTTAATTGCATAAACGTTTATCAATATATTTATAAGATGCTTGCATGTATTAACTATGAAAACTTTGAAATTTATGTGATTTATATAATATAATAATGTACTGATGTTTAATTTCTATACATGTCAATCTAAATTATTTTTATGAACCGATTTTCAAGCATTTGGAGAACAAGGATCCTTGTGCACTAAGATATCTTTAGTTGATTTGTTCACGTCAACTTAATCGCCAATGGAGGCCAGTCGAGTGCTTCAAGTGCCTCCTAGGGTCATGCATCATCCTAGCAGATGATTGGGCAGACTATGGTCTTTTTGTCTTATCATATAGTGAAGCATTATGCTCTGCCTATTGTATTGTCTGTTTCATTAGAATACCAATACCACTTCAACCTGATGTAGTAACCTTCATTTTGGAAACAAATAAAAGAAGATCGGTTTCCCTGAGTCTTGATTTTAGCTCAGTTAGAACTGTTCTCTTTGATGATAAATCTTTTATTGTCAAATTATCTCTTTACGATGACAGTGTCAACATTGGACATCTTGAGGCAGTTGTGCACATTCTCCAGCAGCCTTTCATAACAGGAGTTTCTCGAGCTTGTAAGTCAGTTCCACTCTTACCTACAGTTAGAAGAGAAGAGAGTCATTGTTCTTCTCTCAAAGACATCCATGTGGATATAGTGTGCACCTTCAACAGGAAGCCAGTCTGGATTATTGTATCTGATGGAAATCCAAAGTATGTCTCTTGGCATAGATGTCATAAAAGTAAGGGTTTAAAATTGCGCATTCAAGAAGTCCTTGCTGCTGCGCAATCAAGCTTAACATTAAGACCTTCTTCAGTTATCCTTTTCTTTGCAAATGGGATTGCAAACCATGTTCACAAAAAGCTTCAAGATGAGTTTGGGGCATCAGAAATTGGATTGGGGCCTTCAGTTTTTAATTTTGATGCATTTGAGGAATCAGAGGGTGACTGGATAAACATACTGGCAAGATCTTATAAAGATGCGTGCATCCTTGAAATAAAACCCACTGGTAGCAAGGATGTTGTTTCAGGGTTAGACCATAGTGTCAAAGGTTTAACTATGGACTCTGCTCGACCAGAGGTTTCAGTAGAGAAAACTGAAGCTCAGCTTCAGCTTTCTGTTGAAGATTGTGAAGCCAACTTGGCTGATACATTCCGCTCCATTGTTCTGGGACTGGAATTATGCTCCTTGAACATAAAAAATTTAGAATCTTCTGATCCAGGAAACTATTTTGGGGATATTGATCTAATAAATTTTGATACAACAGCTTTGATAGCACTTGTAACAGGAATTAGCAATGACGGTGGTGTGCAGAAACTTTTGGCTCATCCAGAGAGTGAAATGAGGGTGAGATTCAAGGGAAACTACGAGTTTGTGGTTGGTCAAGTGAGTAGTCATAGTCTCAATTCTCATCCATATTTTGCACCACATTTTTTCATTTCTTCATGTCATTTTCTCCTTGTGAGATAGTGATGTTATCATAGTGGTTATCTATCAAGAACTGACTATGTAGGATACATGGAGTTACAATGAACAGCCTTTAGTTTATGGGAAAAAGTGGAGTTAATGATCAATCTGTTTAATTATTCAACCATGAGGGTCAAATAACGTTCATCATAATTATTCAGTATTTAAGTTTTAAAGTTGGACTTAATCATGCTATGTGGTTAGTTGGTTCTTAAACACAAGAGCTTGGTACCTAACTCTAATTCTTCCTTATTTTATTACAGACTCATTTAACTTCACATATAACCTTTTGAATTTTGAAGGATCGATCAGCATGTTAGTTTTAAAACTTGATGAGTAATTGAAGTTTTTGTTCCTAGCTTTTGATCAGTTCCTTTTACTGTTATGGCATTTGCAACTATAGAATATAGACGTACATTTTAAACTTGTGATGACTTTCATGCCTGTAAATATTCATTCCTTATTTCGTTACTTCACCTTATATCAATAGATTTCATAAACGCCATTGTTAGGAAGAAAAGGAAATATTTTATGATGCTATACTCTTATTCACAAGATTTCTTCATTTCTGTGTCCTCATTGAAAGGCACCTTTAGTAATGATGCTTACTCTTAAATTGATTACCAGTTACAGTATTGATCAGATGTCAATCATATTGAGTAGTATTTTTTAGATAAAATCATCATGTGTATTGTATTTTATGTACTTTTCTGAATTATAGAAGCTTTTGTCAGCATTTTTTTTCATTTGACTAAAGTGTTTCTCATCTCTTCCTTCAGGCAAAGTCTGACATTCAGAATCCCATCCTTGTGGAATTCAGTAGATTATTATGTGGAAAGACAGGCATTATTTGTGAGAGTGTTCATATGGAATTCAAGGAGTTGGTATTACTGTGTGGTGGGCCCAATGAGAAACTGAGAGCTGATAAATTAATAAGTAGCCTCAGGTGAATTTGATGATTATATTACTTTAGTTGCTGAATTATTTAGGTTATTCTGCAAAAACTCTAGAGATATATTGTTTTGTTAACCATGAGAATCGTTTAGCTACTCCATCATTGTTATCAAGTTTTGTCGAACAATCTGGTTGCATGGTGTTCATCAGGATCTACTTTGTAAAGATCATCTTTTATCACCTCTACTGAATATAACAATGTATATCACTTGCTTACGATGCTTAAATAATTGGTCTTAAATAACCAAGCGGGAGATTAATTCCTAATTATTCTTAGGGTAAATCTAGTCCTGTATACTTAACATTTACTGAACTTGTAGAGTTGCATTTACTGACTTTGAGTTCCCCTTTAATTTGGTATGCTTATCAAATTTGTTTGTTGTTTTTAATTTTTCAACTTGGCTGGTGCCTGATATAATAGTTTTAATGTTTTTCACCAATAAATTGGGGGTATTTTCTCAGGGTTGTTCCTGATTGTCCTTCAGAACGGATAATGGGCCTGCCAACAAGAAGAAAGTTGGCGATGAAAAATAAGGTTATTTTTGGTACCGGTGACTATTGGCACGCTCCAACTTTAACTGCAAATATGGCGTTTGTCAGAGCAGTTTCTCAGACAGGGATGTCCCTTTCTACTATTGAGCATAGATCACGTGCCCTAATTGGTGATTAATTGCATGCATTCTCCACGTGAACAGTGAACGCTTTCTTTCCCTCACAATAGCAGGCAATAGAATGTATTTTCAGTTGGAGGGGGTGTCTTGTCTGTTCATCAAAACCCCATTGCTTGAGGAGTTCCCCAAATCTGGGCATTGCAATTTAGTTGGTTGTATTAAAAGCCTCATTTGACGTGCCTTGTAAAATAAGTATGCAGATATGAAAAACACTAGATAGTGTTGTGTAAGTTTTAGTTTTTCATGAAATTATAGAAGTTTTTATAATATGGTATGTTTATTGTATTGGCATACATTTTACTGTATTATATGACATAAAGCCTAATGATGCATTTCTGATAAATTATTCACCACTATCCTCTTATCCTATTTCAAGCATTTTGTTTGTGATCCCTAATAAAGGCAAATACATTGAAGTATTCCTTTATTTTGCCTTTTGTTTTCTGATTGTCCTGCAGTTGTTTCTTGTTGTCGTGGTAGCACTTGCCCTATTATGATATAAGCATTATTTATGTACTCCTCCAATATAAGCATTATTTTCGCTCGATGTGTAGGCCTTGAGATTTCGGAAGTTGAAAAAATAAGAGGGGAGGGGATGAAGATCGAAATCAAAACTCATGGCTCTTATGTTTAGGAAAGTGTCACTTGAGAAATAAACTCAAGCATGTCACATGCAAATTTCCCTTTCCTAGTGATGAACTGGAAAAAATTAAATGATTAACTCCTACTATGACAACATTTATTCAGAAAAAGAAGGCAACATGAGAGACTGCCACTATAGGGTAAAAGGGCAGAACTCATCATCATTGTGTATAAAACTTAAAGTTTGACTCTGAATTTACAGTCGCTAGCCTTGATGCTTATCAGATTATTAGCAGATAAGCTATCCACTGTCAACATACATTCACCCAAGACCCTGACCTTCCTTAGCTTCAACCTCCCAAGTTTAATGGCTACTGGTGCGTGTACCTTAAGCTCCAAAGGAACACGTCCTGTCTGCTGCTGTTCTTGCAGTGCCGCCATTAAAGTGCTTCCAGATTGCACTTGGCCAGTCAAGGACACATTAAGTACTGTTTTGTTCCTATGGCCTTGGTAAAACTCAGGTAATGATCCTTCACAAAGTTGAGTGTTTGAGTACCACACGCTCAAACCCCCTCCTTTCTCATAGTAAATTCCAATCTTCTTGTTTGGGTTGTCTGCTGTAATCTTCACATTAAACTTTGCATACAGAGTCATGTCAAAGTTTAGCCTCAAATCGCTTATCCTTAGGCTGTTTACTGAGTAATTGGGAAGCTTTGGTTTGAAGACGAGGTAGATGATTCCTGCAGTTGCTCCCAAGATGACGATGAGGATGATAAGTAAGACTAGTGTCCAGCAGATGCATTTACAAAAACAACCTTTCTTTGGTTTTGGTGAGTGTATTACAGGCCTAGCATGTTGTATTGGTGTAGGGTGATGCTGGGCCATCACTGGAACACTCTTCTCTGATGTTGATGAACCAGGTGGCATCAGTGGCACCGTGGGTGGTGATGGTGGCGGTGCTTCTGTGGCTTCCATAGGATAGATTCTCTGATGATCTGCCATGGATGAGAGTGTCCTTTGGTTCTTTGTATGTGCAATAAAGACACCCAGTGAAAAAGCTTTGTTTCAATGGTAGCAAGCTTGGTGCTATAAACAGAGCTTGCTATTTTGACTTCTGTTGCGAAGATTGATGTGTTGGAATGTGAACTGATTGGTGTTACAACAGGGACAGGAGTAAGGTTACCTTCCTCACCTAAAAACGGCATTCAAAGAACCAAAATAGCTATTGTTAGGTCATCTACAAGTGTGACATTCGTGGGATTTCATGATGATTTTTTTTTTTTTTTGGCCAAAGGGGAATTTCGTGATTGATACGAGTTCTTACTTTAACAATTTGTTCCATTGAATCTTTGAGAGGTGGGGCAGATGAATGCTTCGTTAGCAAAGTCAAGGCCGAGGAGAAAAAAATAGAGCTAGCTTGGTTTACCCTCCAAAACTCAAATTTGGTTTCTCCCATTGAAATAATCAAAATTTAAATTTATATGAATAATTAATTTTGAACAATTCGAGACTAAAAAAAGAGATAAAGATAATGGGGAAAAACAAGAAGCCGAATTGCCAAGAATCTCATGTTCCACCCAAGTGCTTTACAAGTTCAAATTTCTTTTCATTAAGACCATTTTAAGGAGTTCTAATAAATTTAGCTGCGAGTTTTGCATGGGATTTAAATATGTAGAAAACGCTCACACACAAAAATAAGTAGAAAATGAATAAAGAAAAATTATTCATAAAAAATGTGTTATATATGTTTATATTTTGTTCAAACAAATAAATAGCTTCGGCCAAAAAAAAAAAGCAAATAAATAAATAGCTTTTTGAAAAAAATTAATATGTCAACGTCAAACTGATCGTACTGATGGTAATGGATTCTTATTCTTCCCATGGATTCCAATTCTTCCCTCAACCGAAGTTTTCAAGATCAACCCTTTATGCTTCCTCGAGTCCTTAGTTCAGGGATTTACCTTGGTCTTAAATATAAAACTTCAATCTACTATATCCCCAAATTTATAATTATTTCTCCAATTCATTCATAGATTGCACATATTTTCCTTTTTACAATAGAGAGGTTTCGAATGTAAATGATTAAATGAGATATTTTAGAAGAACCAACGCATAATTTTTACAAATAACTAAATTAAATTTTTAATCTTTATAAATTAGTTATCTAACTTCTACATTTAGAACTGAATAGATAGATTATTTCCTTATCCACTTGAGATTTCAAATATGCCTTAACTAATATAATATTTTTCAAATAATTTTCATTTTATAAGAATTTCCTAACCCATTATTCCATCTTATCCTTATTATTAGATACTTTCAATCATTCCATTCATATTAACAAATGTGATTTTTTTTAATATCATGAAAAAGTAAAAAAATATTTTTATTTTTATTCTTAGTTTTAAATAATAATACAAATACATTAAATACTTTCACGCTAATTAAAAAAGGTAAAATTGAAAAAAAATAATTTAATTATTATAATGTGTTTTATTTTAAATTAAAAATTACTTTTAGAAAGTATATTATAAATATTACCAGAGGGAGTATATTTCAAAACATGCTCTCACATGTAGTTTGCAATTTATCAACGAAGGCACAGAAAAATTCGTTCTATACGAAGGCACAGAAAAAATATAATTTAGAAATATTAACACACATACATAACATGAATCATTGACTAGAATTAAAAAAACCAAACTTTATCCAAAAAAAATATTAAACAAACCAAAATATCATGTAAATTTTAATTCTCAAAAAACTACTATAACAACTAAATATTTAAAACATTATAAAAAATATCAATAATATTATTATAATAAATAATATTTTAAAATATAAATAAATAAATAAATGGGCTTAAACGGGTTGGCCCTCGACCCTACAAAGCCAACCCATTAGGGTTGGCCCTTATAAGCTTGCATTTTATTTTGAAACTCTAAAACTCAAGTCCAACCCTAACAATTATTGAGTTTAAATTGACAGGCTCTATAGGCTTAGCTTGTTTTTTCAGTTCTAATTTTAGTTGTGCCTGTGAAACAGAAAGATCGCAGCGCTGACCTCTCAGGCCCCACTTATTTGCGGTTCCAAAGCCATGCCCATGAACAAAATAGACTAAATTAAAGAGATATTTCACGAGGTGGAAAACCTACTTGGCCTCAGGAATTCAATATAGTATGACAGCAAAGTGTTGGGTTCTTGAGGACAAGTTGAATTCTCGCAAAGAAGCGTTGACCTTATAAGTAACAGTCTCATGGTAGACCAGTGAATTGTTCTCTTGTTCTTGCTCCTTTTAATTCAAAAAAAAAAAAAAAACCAGGATGCCACAGGTATTACTTGGGCATGTGGATAACACAACGCAGACACTTTCCTTCCTTCATGAGATTGAAAGCTTTGTTAATGTCATCAAATGGCAAATCATGCGTTATGTAGTCATCAATCTGGATTTCCTGCGCATTTTAATAAATATGTTAGTGGGCGTTTCCTCACAAAACTACTGCTTCTTAAAGACATGAGGAGAAAACCATCAAGTGTTCAAAAGATACTGTTAAACATTTGGGTTAGTTGTATTTTTTAGAATAAAGTAAATGTAAAATATTTTAGAACATAGCATAATGGCCATTGTATTTCAAGTTAGGACACAAACACACACATACACATGAATGTTCTATTGTGTCAGGTTTTATATTTTTTAAAGTTTAATGGGCTAATGTGTCCATGTCCATGTTGCACCATGTGCCCTGTATTCATCAATGCGTGTGTGTATATAAAAGGAATCACAAATAATAGGAAATAATGAAGTTGCTGTTACTGTTACCTTATTCACATACTTCTCTACTAATGAAGGCAAATCAGATTTGGGTTTCCATCCTCCAAACAAAGATCCTTTCAATGTTCTTCCCATTAATAGCAGTGCGTAATGAGCTGACATCTCAGGCTTCACTTTTGGCACACCAAGGGTAACGGTCAAACCCCATCCCTATGAGGAAGAAGGAATGATACGATGTAATTGTTTATTGTTGCATAAATTCATTCAAGTTCATTATATAAAAAGCATGTCAACAACAAAACAAGATCTTTAGTTATGTGGGTATAGAGTATTACATCACAGCATGACTGCAATGCAGTGGTTATCATATCAGTATCACCTATGCATTCGAAAGAGAAATCAGCTCCACCATTGGTAATGCGCTTAACAACCTGAAATACTCAACATACAAATAATTGTTATAACTCCAATCATCTTCTTTTAGTTCATACTTCATAGTGAATTTCTCTGCTGAAGCAAAATCATATTATATCTATCCAAATTATGAATCAGAGGGAATTGATTTGTTCAGATCCCACAAACATTAGCAGGGAACACAAAATGTGTGCGGAATTTATGGCTAAGGGAGCTTATCAGGATCTATGACGCACGGATACTTCAAAAAAGTAAACGTATCCATATCCAATACGATACTTGTAGGATACTTCTGCATACGTATCTCATATTATAACATTTATAATATGATTTTTTTTCCAACAATTTTTTATTAAATCACTTAAAAACTTGATAAACATTTAATATTTTAATTGATTGCTATAAATATCTATATATTACTTTAGAAATACTTGTTTAAAAATAAAAATATATAAACCTATACCATAAAATGTTGAAATATATATTATAAATATCCCCGTACCCGTATCCTAAAATTTTGAAAATTTGCCGTATTGCCGTATCATGCCGTATTGTATCGGATACTTGTACCCGTATCTATGCAACCTAGATCAGAATAGCTCCAACTTGTTTCTGATCCTGAATGTCGCTGCTGGATGTTTGGAAAGGTTTCTTGAAGACCAGGGGAATGCTTAATAGTAAGACGTTTCTTGAAGACCTCTAGTTTGTAATTTCTAGTTTTTCCAAGCCTTGGCTTGCCTATGTAACTCAAAAAAAAAAAAAAAAAGATCCCACAAACATTTCCCGGATGGCACATGAGAACCATCTTTTGTAGTTATTATATGTCATCTACTAAGGGTAATTACAAAAGGCTGGGTCATACTTTTCACAATGAGATTGATAAAAATACCTGAACGATAGGTTCTTCAAAGGAATTTGGGTTAACAACTTCTGTAACTCCAAAAGCTTTAGCTGTAACAACCACCAACATGACGAACTATGGTAAACTCGAAGATTTACCTAGGTCCAAATCTAAATCAAAATATATATTGGAGAAGTAATCATAGTACCATTTTCACACTTCTGAGGGTTATTGTCCACACCAATTATACGAGATGCCCCCCTAAGTTTAGCACCTTGTGCAACCTAATTATGAGAAAAGTCATTGTCAAATTGCAAATTAGAATACAGCATCTCTCATCTTTTAAAAAGCTAAGACGGACACAGAAGTTTATGGCTGATGAGTCCTTATACTTACAGAAAGGCCAACAGTTCCTAGTCCAAATATCACCACTGTTGATCCTTCTGTTACATCAGCAACATTCCATGCTGCGCCCAGACCTAAAGTGGTAATGTATGATCAACCAACCCAACAATAAGAAAAGTAATAATATTGTTCTCCATTAAGAAATAACTTTTACCAAGAACTATGGTCCAGACAGTGTCAAAGAATACATTACAGAGATATATACAATAATTAATGTATTGCAGGCAATTACAAAAATCAATAGTAAGTTTTGCAGCGATAAATAAGAGAAAAAAAATTAAGTGCAGCATGTGTTATGGGATGCAAACTTTGCCAATGCTACTAAGCTCTAGCAGTTGTTTCAGTGTATTCAAATGTCAACCACATTGTTTTGGTTACAAGACTTGCTACTAGGGGTGGAAATAGGCTAGGTCAAGTTAGGCTTTGGCCAAATAGGCCTGAACTATGTAGTAAATCAGAAGTCTAAGCCTGGCCTGAAGCCTATATAAGGCTTTTCTCATGGCTCAAGCCTAAGCCTATATAAAGCATGGCCTGGCTTGAAACACCATTTAAAAGCCTACTTAAAAATAAGTATTTTAAATAAGCTCATCTTTTAGTATTAAATGTTTCAAATATATTTTAGGATTATTTGTATAAATATATAACTTGATTTATCAATTATAATATATAATAATTAAAATGACTTACTAACTAATATAAAATACAATATTAAAGTAAAAACATTAAAATCAATATATAATCCAATCTATTAAAAATCAAATGGTAAACTAATGTATGTGTGTGATATATTACTTAATATGTGTATATATATAAATAGGCCGGCTTGTTGGGTTTGTAGGCTAAGCCTTAAAAACTAAGCCTATCCTATTTAATTAGATAGGCCTAATTAAAGACATGAATCTAGCCTAAACCAATTTAGTAAATAGGCTAAGCTGGACTTGAAGTAGACCAGGGCAAAGGCCCTAGATAAGGGCCTGGCCTATTCCCACCCTTACTTGCTACCACTTCAAAAGCACAAACTCAGTCTTAAGGGAACGATATGAATTAATTATCTTTTCAATTTTCTAACAACAACCAAGAAAATGGTTTTAAAAGTTATTAAAGATACTATTCAGAAACTAAAGTTGATCGGATAAGAAACTGGTAGGAAAATTTTGCCCAAAATTGAGCTGCGTGATAGAAGTCTAATAAGTCATGAAGTTGAATAAAACACAACATCAAGTAGCTTGAACTAAATTATCTGTCATGATGGGTCAGCAATTACTGCTTATTATTAGTTGCCAAGGAATGTTATATGTCAAAAAAAAAAAGTGATATCCTTGACTTTTGACAAAATTCACATAAAGCAGAGTTTACTTGGTGATCTTTTGTTGAGAAGATCTCCCGTGATAATATTGCTATCATAGTTATACTTCTTCATTAAACATCATTGTCAATGAAATATACAATAATATGTTAAGCATATGACTGACACAGATGCATTGACCATTTCTCCTCCAATCATTCCTTGGGTTTAACGAGAGAAAAATTGAACCACCAAGCTGGATCACCAGCTCAGTCCTGTAAAATTTTACTTTGGGCCAGACACATTTACATGTTGCTTTATAGAGTGTTCTTTTACCCTTCATTTCACAGAGCTAATGTTATATACATGAAAGTTGGAAAAATTACCTGCAGCAACACCACAGCTCAAAAGGCATATTTTCTCAAGAGGAGCATTTGGGCTGACCTTGACTGCACACCCAGAATGCACTACTGTGTATTCACTGAAACTTGAAACAGCACAATAGTGATAAACAGGCTTCCCTTTTACTGAGAAACGTGTCTTCTGATCACTATGCATTAAACCTTTTCTTTCCAATCCCAGAACTTGACATATGTTTGTTTTTCCAGATTTGCACAGCCTGCATGTCATGCATTCTCCAATGAAGACAGTAAGCACATGGTCTCCTTCCTTGAATTCAGTCACTCCCTCGCCCACACTCTCAACAATCCTGCAAACCAAGTGCTAAATATTCATCATCTGTTGATGAAATTATATTAGTTACAGTCATTTACGACCTAAAGTGATGTCCTCAGAGCGATAGGGCATCCCATGCATGTCACAATAATGCTTTGAATCAGCTATACCTTACATGATCATCACTTCACCTTAACTAGGCATCTCAAAGTTCTGTCTAATTGTCATGCTAGTCTAACGGGAATCATGCAGAAAAATAGTGATGCTAAAATAATGATTTAAGGATCATTTATGACTCATTTTGCATTAATAAAAAAAAAAGGAGAGGAAAAGAAATTTGTTACCCTGATGCTTCATGGCCAAATATTCGAGGAAATATGGTCTGCACAACGAAAAGCCTCATGTTAGATGTTTAGAAATATTCATCAGCATATTATTTACCAACCTTCATCAGCTTCTGTGAAAGGCACAAGAACATGCGCTCTAAAGAAAAAAAGCTTATAGGATTAACTAGTGATTTTACACATAATGCTGGTAAATATGCATGGCCTTCAGGCAGTAAGGAGGAAATACTTCAAAATTATGGATATTTATTTAGCAATATGTTAAGCAAATGAAAAGTCAAGCCATGGGGTAGTTCTCCTCTCTACCAAAGATGAGCATGTTAATAACTGTTTCTGCCAGTCCGAGCAGCTGAAATAATCAGTTTTTCCCCTTCGCTTAACCTTCTATGCTCATTCACAATCCACAATTACACCAAGGAAGGAGGAAAATCAAAACAAGGAGATTGAAGATAAAGCACAGGCATAATAGTAAAGGGGGGAAAATACATGGGATTCCCAAGCGGAGAGATCGCTGCGACAGAGAGAGGTGGAGACAACTTTAATCCGAATCTCTGAAGGTTGGGGAGGGCTCACTTCAACTTCCTCCACAACCAATGGCTCTCCAGCTCCCCATGCCACCGCAGCTGTTTCACATCAAATGCACAAACTGATTCATTTTTTTATCAATCGCTCGCATAGAAAGTTTACTACAGAAAGAAAACAGGTTGCTTGATAATAACACAATTTACCTTTGCAGGTGATGATTTGAGGGGTTGGTGACAGCGGCATTTCTGTGTAACAAAAACAAGAGGAGGAGGAACAGGAAGGATTAGGAATGAAGGAGGAGGCGTTTGTATCAAGCTGCTAAACCAACAGTATGGAAGTTGGTGAAAGAACCTTTGCAAGTGAGATGGGTCAGCGAGGAGGAGGAGGATGACCCACATGGAAATTGAACAACTCACCACTAACTCAGCTGCGTGTCAACTATCAAGGCGCGACAGAGCCCGGGGTAGGTAGGGAAGGTTGGTCGACTGACGGTTTAAGTTGTTAATGTTATCATTTGGAATAATACACAAAAATTAAGTATTATTATTATTAATTATGTAACATTTTAATTACATTTGGTTAAAATAATTTATTAACTTTGCACTCATTTCTTATATCTTTCCTATTAAACCATGAGTTTTTTTTTTTTTTGATCAAAAACTATGACTTAGATGAATATAATTATAAGAAAATATTTAATATTTATTAAAATTCTAAAGGGACTTTTAAAATCATTAAATAATGTTTATTTTAAAAATTTTAGTTTGTTTAAAAAATATCATGTCATCGAGTTACTATTGCTGCTTTAAAAATTATCAATCATCCTCTCTAAAAATTATAACTTAATATTGGTTTATAAATTTAGCAAAACTAAAATCAAGACGTCAGGTTGCCCAAAAAAAAAAAATTGAATAAATACACCTTGTTATAAACAGTTTTCATAAGTTACAACCGGATCATCCCTAAATACACCAACATAAACAGAGACATGAAAGCAACTTGTGGAAGCACCAAGTCCTACTATCCAATGCAGAGTTAATCATTCACAATAAGAAGACAAGCAAAACTGGCACACTAACATTAAAGGATTAAATAAAGGCATGCACTAGGTTTATCTTCCCTCTAGTTGTACACAGCTCACAAATCATCCCCCCCCCCCTCTCTCTCTCGTCTTATTTTTTTATGATTAATGCTTCGTGTACGGAATTCCCAGTGTAACATGGCAAGACACTTATATGGTAAGTTGGTAACCCTAAAGGAAGAAAAAGCACTCTGTACTGAAACTACAGAGAGGATTAGTAGTTTTCCACCATTAAAAGCCTTCATCATCCATCACTCTTCATCATCAGAACTAGCATCATATGCCAAGCCTAGCAATCCACCAGCAGGATTATCCATCTTAATCTTTCCTTCTGCCTCTTGTGATCCCCCAGATGAAGGCTGACTTTTATTTGATTCAGGCAGAGACAGCCGCTCTTTCTTTTTCATTTTTTCACTCTCAGGCTCGCGTTTTGTGACACTAGCATTACTAGGAACTGGGGTTGCCTGGTTGCCCCCGGATGGGCTAGAAAGCTTTGGTCGCTTGGGCTTAATTTCCACAACTTTCTTCAGCAGATCTTGCTGCCTACACCACAACGGATAAAGACGATGAACACCACCAGAACCAGAACAATTAGAAATGAATATAAGGGGAAAAGGGAGAGGGCAGAGAAGAGATCTACCTTATCCCGCTCTTTGGTTTTGGCTCAACACGAAGAGGCAAGGGTACTGATGCAGGCGTAGAATCCGCTAAGTTTGCAGCTCTGTGTCCATTTGTGAAGGAAACAGCAGAATACAACTTAAAAGCACGAGTAATTTTGTCAGTGTTATCATTATCAAATAATGATGTCATCAGCTAAAACTACCCAGGTTGACTTAGGATTAAGTAATTCAATAGAAATTATTTAAATATTTGTATCCGTTGTGAGCTTCATTCACAGAACAACAATAATAATCCTAGTATTTCAGTTATATGCCTTTACAGCGTGCTTCAGTTCTTCAAGTTCTTAACTCAGTACTTTTTTTTTGTAATAATTCAGTATTTGTTTGAGATCACCAAAACATTACTTTGTCAGTTTTATAAAACCAAACTATAAGTAACAAACATACTCAAACAAGAGTACTCAAACTCTTAAGATAGAAGAATCAATGTGTCTTACTTTCAAAATAAAAGAAAATAAAATAAAAAAACTGACGCAAGGATCAAACTTAAGTATTTATGGAAGTTAAATTGTCTACTTTTGACATTTGAAAATAAATCCATATGGCTAATTAATAATAGAAAAGGCATAGAATATGAGAACCACCAAACAACACATAATTCACGTAGTTATAATCAATGGACCCATAATTCTATTCCTTAGGAGATAGGGAGAACATACAAGAACGGAAGGGGAGAAATCATAAATATTGAATGTTCCTGGTGGCCAAGGCAGGCCATCACTTCATCAATAAGCTTTGACTCAATAATACCAGGTTCACCTCAATGCTCAAAGATCTAATTCAAATCAGTCTGAATCAATCCCACTCCATTATAAATTTCCTTCCCCAGCCATGGCCATCTAAGTGTCAGTTTAAAAGGCAAGATTGACCACTTTTGTCAAGCATTTGTATCACAGTTCCATTCATCTTTTAGCAGTCACAGAAATGATGATGAGCTAATTCTGGACATTGCTAGCCAGTGAATTAAGCTGTTATTCTATGACATAAGAAACAGTTATGAACCCAAGAAGAATAAGAAAACAAAGCTCCTTAGGCTGACCAGAAAAGGATATCTTAAATGCAGCAAATGCCCGTTTTTCAGTACGGCGCAGGAGGCGTTCCGCATCCTCCTCAGCTTCCATCTGCTCCTTGAGATAGAGTAGATCATCACTGTCCAATGCTGCATAGATAAAATTTAAAAAGGAGATCAAAGCAACTAAGGTAATATAATGCAACAGATAAGACCAAGTGCAGGGACACGTCCAACAAACAAAAACAATTAAGATAAAGCGGTACCCCCTCGCCCATGAAGGTAACCTCCACGCTCACCAGCAACCTCTTGCATCTGCTTGCATCAGCAACCCAGTACAGGAAGCCAATATCCCTGCCGGGGCATGTTATCAGCAAAATCCCTCAAATTGCCAAATAAAATATTTTTAAGTGCAATACAAGGAAGGTATAATTAGAACGACTATTAAAGCTGGTCCCTTCATCATAGTCCTAATGTATTTAGAGCTAAATAAACGATGTAGAAGGAAATTAACAAAGTGAAATGACAGATGCGTACCATCAACATCATGTAACTATATGCATTAAATCAAAAGATTCCATTGTTTTCTCTCACAAAAAAAAAATATATATATATATATATTCTTTATCCAACGATTGTAATAAAATGGATATTACAGCCCTTGTAGCTTAAATAAAAAAGTATTCATCCAAAAATGGATTTTAGCTTTAGAATATAGTGCTAAAAAATTACATTTCAGCCAAAACCAAACGTCCCGGAAGTAAACCCTTCCAACTTCCAAGACATTACTTAAAAAAAAAAAAAAAAAAACGTATGAATGGCAATAAACACCAGCATGGCAGTATCATGAGAAATGTAATGGCCAAAGAACAAAGAACGTGACAAAAAGAAAAGAAAAAGGACTTTTAATTGTTTCCTTTAGACTTCTCAAAGACAGGACTCGTTTGTTTCTGGACATTCTACTGTCTACAGAACAGAGCCAAAAGAGAAAAGGAACATTTAAAAATTGCAAGAGAGAAGCATACAACATGTGAAAACCATTTTCTTATCCTCAATTATGAAAGAGAAGAGACTCAAAATTATACAGCATTGGCGACCCAGTTTCTTCAATGAAGCCACAGATAGAGCTAGGCCATTCTACGAGCGCCCAGAGTTCTGGAAACAACATCTAGTATCTTGTACCCTCATAAAGCATTTATGATACCAAGTGATAGATACCAGATAATAGGGCTTAGATTCAGATAAGGATGCCCTACACACCGTTCATAAGGATAGGTGGAGACTGGGCACATCCATATGTTTCCACCTCGAGCTAAGTTTCTTTCTACTCGTGTATAACAAAACCGGAGAAAAACATTTAAAATTAAAGAAGATTATACGCACGTGGGCGCACATATAGCAAAAAGACCAGAGACACAGTATTAGAAGGGCATGAATACATTGGCTTAGTTGCACAAGCTGCATTTTATAGCATATTCCAAGGTAATTACTAGTTTGGATAAGAAGCAGTTTGCAATGGTATTATGTTCCTTCTGAAGAACTAATTTGCCCCCACGACCAAACATTAGCTAAAGATTCACACTCAAGCTTAAGCTTACATGCATATGGGTGCCTAATAATCATTTAAAAGTTGACATATATTCACAAGAATTCAAGAAAAAAGAAGACCAGAGAGGACGATTCAATGCGCTAACCTTGGCAACCATTCGTTGGAAAGTAATGTCTTCATCGTCTATCTTATCTTTTCCTTTACCCCATTTTTTGTCTGCAGATTTAAAACAAATTTAAATCAAACCTAAGAACTGCAAAATAGGGGGATTAAGAAAAATACACCAAAGGAAATCAAAATTAATTACCTTTCGGGTCGCTTAGGTTAGTATATTCTCGAACTTCCCTACCCGCAGCCATCCCCGATTATTCCAACCGACCTGGAGACGGAGCTTCTTTTTTTCTGAGAAAAGAAGAGATGTGGCTGTTAAGCTCAGGGGATTGCGAATTAGAAAGCAGATAATTCCTTTCTTGTGGGCGAGCGAGTAAGACGTTTCTAGAACACGGAATCAAAATGAGAACCAGAAATCGGGGGTTTGGTATCAGCGTATTCTCCCCTGCGCATTGGAGAGAGATTGAGAGAGGGAATGGGGTATCAATCGTGATTCTGTCGTCGCTGACGCCTGATGCGAATAGCGGCGGAGACAAAGCCGTGGGAGTGGTCCAGTCTCCAGTGAATGGATTGAAGGTCAATTCACATCGGGGGCATGACTGTAATGTAAGAATAAAATCCATAGATATCGGGGGAAAAAATCGAGGAATTGGACCTCTTTAACTCCGAAGTCGTAACATGTAAATGGAATTTGGGCTCTGACGAGGCCCATTGAGCTAATATTCCCTCTATTAAAAACAGAAATTATTCAATAAACTGAACACCAATTCAATCTAATAAAATTTTATATATTATTATTTTAATAAATTAATTTTCATAATAAAATTTCTATTTAATTTTTTATCTTTTTTCTCTTTATTATTATTAATTTTAAAATTAATTTATATTTAATATCATTTAATTGTCATATTTTTATTGGATAAACTATAGATTATGCAATGCACCAAGCCCATATAAAAATTTCTCCTATAAAAAATTGTTTTGAATTAAGAAATTATAAAAATTGAATTAATAATTGGGGAAAAAATAGAAACTAAAAGTTACATTTTAATATGAAAACAATAACAAGAGCAAGCATAAAAAATGTAACCACGCATCTCCTATGTTGTACTCCTAATTCATAACTAAAGGTTTTCCGTCGCTTCACTAGGGGCTAAAATTTGAGAAATTGGAAATTGCAAAATAAGAACAAAACTTTATATTATTAGAAATGCCCAAAAAATCATATTCATTGAACAAAACATAGATGTACTTCAATGAACATGAGAAATATAACAGATTGGTGCTAATCAATTTAAATCGGAATTAATTATCAAGTCAGCCATAATTATAATTTTAAGTGAATGGCTCAATTTCGTTTGTTTCCTGTGGTACATATCTCATTTTCTGTATAGAAAGAAGAAAGTATGGAGAAAATCAATTTCCTTGCAAATGCAAGAAATAGAAAGCAAAGCCGCATAAATCCTACCAACAGTTTGAAAGTTGGTCAGATTCATATACCAACATGGCAATCCATAAATCGTCACATTCTATATCCCTTCTAATTGTTCGTAACATGTATGAAAACCATATGCAAGATCAAAGTAATTTAGCTTCCCTACAGCAAGAGCGTAGAAACTCCTGTACAAATGCCATGCCTAAAAAAGAGCTGTCAACTCGAGCACTGAAAGAAACTAAACTAAAAAGCCTCAAGAAAAGTCAGGGGATTCTCAGAATGGAGACCCAAAATTTTGCAATAAAGTTGTCAGGAAACAATACAGCAGACTGCGTCCATGAAGCCTAATTACAAGCACCGTCAGTTGTATAGTGAAAGATTAAATTTCTTCTAAGTTGCATCACATGACTTCATAGTTTCTTCCAGATGTTCATGATGCCATCCGCAAATAACTTCAGATTTCCCCACAAAGTTGTTTTCTTTGGAGCCTCAGCATCACTGATCTTCCTATTAGAGTTGTCAGTGGACAATGGGAGAGGAGCAAAAAAAAGCCTTAATATACAAAATATTGGAGATGGAAAAATCACAGACGTCAACAGATACGATCATCTAACCCAAACCGGGAAAAAAAAAAACAAAAAATAAAAACAAAAAGATAGAAGGTTTGCATCAGCAAGTAACGAATTTCATTTGATTTTTTTTATCAAATATATCTATTCTTGATTGAGAATAAAAAACTGTTTTTGATTCATCAGCGAAAGGGTCCATTCAATAACAGTACCTAGTATCAATCTGAATGGCCAGGGTGAGTACCAGACACAAAATTTTGATTTTTGTTCCTGAAAATACTTCAGTACAGAAACGCCTTTTTTATTTTTCTCTATCTGCCTCTTTTTAATTGAGGCATTTCACTAGATGAAACAACACTTCGATATAAATTTCATTATAAGTAACAATCAAGCTTTCATATTAATCTTACGAGCATTTTGAGTATTTGATTTTGTACAAAAATAAGCATTAATTTTAAGTTTTCTAACCCCATATTCATTTCTGACTCTTTAAACAGTTTAAATTTTTAACTTGATTTGAAGTTGTTTATAGATGTTTTTTATGAAAACTTGGACAGGAATGCATAAAGAATACTGTAATTTTCAACAAAATTTATCCCTATCACATCCCATTTTCTATCATGAATCAAACCCTCCACAAATAATGGTTTTTTTCTAAGTGACGATAATTAAATTAATTATACTGGCCGCCTATATATCTAAAGATTATGAAGACTTACATTTTTGACTCATTCATGTCTGAAGTTCCATGAACTTGCTCCATAGTATGCTTTGGACCAAAAATACTGGGAAGGTCTTTCAACGAATCATGCTCCCTTTTCTCATATTCAGCTTTCTCAGTGTTTGTTTTCTTCATTACCATATGATTTTCCAAATCAGATAACTCAGAATCGAGACCTTTGGTCTGACTACTTCCAGACATTTCACTACATGAAGCAGACATGTCATGTACCTCTTCTTTCATTGGATGAGTTTCTGAAACAAGATCAGAATAACTAGACTCAGCTTCCTCAGTCTTGACATCAATTGATGTCCACTTATTCGATTTGGAAGGCTCAGCTTCTCTTTGCAACAGGTCACTTTCAGCAGTAATGAAATGACTATCCTGCTATTAAGATCGAAAGTAAGGATTAGTATTACAAGAAAGTCAATTTAACAGTTCTAAAAATATTTTAAGGAACAAAAGAAAAAAGAATCAAACGAAGCCAGGACAGCCAAAGGGTCTATGCAAAGACGTGACAAAGGAATGCCATGCAATTCTGATGAACAAGTAGAGCCATCAACCATTCATGATTTTTCTCCATTTGATTGCATGTTAATTGCTATTAGAAAGCATTATTAATAAAGGAGTTCACTATTTATGCCAATGACCTATCATTCTTTTTTCCCCATCACACAGTAAGCTCAAATAATACTTGTAGTCAGGCTGAGGATCAAAAAAATAATAACAAAGATCTAGCAGTGACTTTTGGTCCAGAACTTCGTAAATTAATACAATATACAAAAACAAGAGGATGACAAACTTAATTCATCAACTGAACTCTACTTATTGATGAAGCATTTGGATTGCTAAAACATAAAGAACGAACTACCAAAAATATAATGTACAAATAATAAAGTCACCTCTACGAATTTATTTATAAACAAATTATTAATATGGCATTTATGTTTGATGCTTACGGAAGCAGAGGTGATTACAGCTTCTCTAGACAAGCTCCCCTCATATGAGGTAGTCTGTGGCCCTCTCTTATCTTGCAGATGCTCATTCCCAGCATCAATTTCATCTAAAATTGCGAATTCACAATCATCATGGATAGGCCTGTCTTTTGCAGTCTCTGTAGTATCAGAGGGAACCTTTACAGTTTCAGTGATCCCAAGTTTACTCCGTTGAAGTTATCTTTTCCAACCAAATTCTCATCCATGTTGTTTGAAGAATTCAATTTGGACTTGTATTGTAATTCCTGAAAGATTTCTCTAACAACATAGTAACTGCCACCAACTTCTTTCCAAGCATCCCTAAGTTTTGGAAACTTCCCATCATTTGTCTCTCTGTACCTGGAGAAAAGAAGATTTAGCTTCGACATTCATTATTGGCTAATAAGAAATATGAGCACAATGTGCTACCATACCAAACCTCAGATGCTGTAGAATATTCTCACCACAACTAATTCATATATGAAGCATGACGATAATGATGCCAAATCAGATGATGTTATGTTAATCAAATTTCAGTTAAAAAATAATAATAATATAGCAGCTTTTACAAATGTCTGACCTTTTCAGACAATTTCTTTTTTCTTTTTTTTTAAGAGCAGGGGAGATCATGTTCTTCACCACATAATCAGGACAACAATTAAAAGCACGATGCAAAATAATATTTCTTCTCCCCTGAGTATCCCTTTGTTGCACCCCAAGGGTTAGGACCAAAACACTAAAAATTATAAAGTTTTTATTTTTGAAATCCTTGCAAGTTGTATTTATTTAAATGAGACAGATATAGGACACTTAAGTATGACCAAAATTGACCAGATGCCAATTTGTGGAAAACATCAAGCAACTTTAGGCCCTGGTTGGTATGTGGGATTGAGGGGTTGTGATTAGGACTAGGATTGGGATAAGGAAAACCCAACTTTTCATGTTTGGTATAGATCATTGAAGAGCACAATCCCAATCCCATGTTACATGGGATTATTCAATACCACCACCGCCCTTGGTATTGGAAAATCAATCTTAGAACAGAAAATATGCAGACAAGCTTGCCCTCACCCATCTCTCTCTCTCTCTCATCCCTTTCATCCCCTTCCTTGATGGTGCCATCTTCTACCATGGCCATCCCTTTCATCCCATACCTCCCTTGCGATGGTGTCGTCTTCCACCATGGCAAAGTCCTTCCTCCAGCTTCTTCGTCTTCCTCCCTTCTCCCTCCATCAATGAGCTAGATCTTCATCCTTCCTCCAGCAACTTCATCGACGTCCATGGTGAGTCACTGGTTCAAGTTCGAGTTTGCCATCAACAGGTTCAAGTTTAAGTTTGCCATCATCCACAATGAGTCACAAGTTCAGGTATAAATTTGATGACATCTAGATCTGGGTTCAAGTTCGTCTCCCTCCCTACCTTGGGATTGTGTAGACCTAGGTTCAAGTTCATCTTCCTCACTCCCTTTGGATTGTGTATTGTCTTTTTATTAATTATAAGGGGCATTATAGTCTTTTGATAATTTATGATTGACTATAAAAAATTAATGCAAGTATTTAATTCAAATATTACGCCATACTAAATATACTTTTAAACCTCAATCCCGATCCAATCTATCGAAATTCATACCTATGTACCAAACAATGCTTTAAGATATAGATTCCGCCTCAAATGAAATAAGTGCATGTATTTACAACCACCATTATCAGCCACAACCAGGCAAACTCCATCACTTGAAATCCTCCAACAGATCAAAGAAAAGAAGGGCACAGGGGAGACTACTCCCATCCTAACTAAAAAAATAGTTCAATTAACTTCATTAATTTGATTATTTCTATAAACATGTAATTCAATAGCAATTACCAAATAATGAATAAGTGATCTATTTCAATTAAAATGTTTAAGTTATTCAAGTCCAATGTTGTGGCATTACCAGATTTCTCAAAGGAAAAAATAAGACCATACTATTGTGATATGTTCACTAAGTCTGCAAACAGTAACAAGCAGTTACTATCCCACCAAAGTTCAAAAGCAAATGCATTCTTGGATCAATGTCTTTTGGTCTTCTAATAAGCTGCTGAAACAATTTTGCATGTTGCATACTGTCCCCTGAACGCACAATATAAAATATTCTTATTGGACTGTCCCAAAATTTGCTTACACAATTTAAGCATTTGACTTGATATCTCAAGATAAAGCACATAGAAGAAAACTTCATAAAATTTTCAATTTCAATAATGATGACTTCAAAATTGATTAAGTTCTCGCTAAAAAAGAAAGAAAGAAAAAGAAGGAATAAATTTTAGGAAATACTTGTTCACAAAAGATTCCACCATGGCTCTCCTTTCATTTCTCGAAATCTTTTGACGTTTCTGAGAATTTGGCTTGTCAGAAGGTACGGAGGCGGCATATGACCATCCACGCCACTGAGTATTTGACTGACCAGCAGAACTGTTTGCCTCAATGAGCACTGTCAATCGACATGGTGAATATGATTACATAATAATTCAATATATTATATAACGTTATACTGGCATTGAATTGGACTTTCAAAATTAATGCCAAAGCAGTAATTGCAAGGGATTAATGAAGACTAAGGGGTTGAACTTCAATTTATAGTAGACCGCATAAATATGCTTCTGATAACATTACGGTATTTAACAAAGACATCAAGCCATGTTAGTGACCTATAGCACAACTATACAACAACAACAAAAAATAGCCTTGTCCCACTAGATGAGATTGACTACATGGATTGAATGATTTCGTTGTGCTCTATCGACAACCACATCTTTGGATATATTGTAAACTATCTCTTCCAATAAATTCATTAAGTGTTCTTTGATCTTCCTCTACCCCTTCTTAGAGGACTCAAACTTGTCTGTCATACGCTCCTCACCGACGCCTCCAACAGCCTCCTTTGTACATGTTCAAACCATGTTAAATAATTATCTACCATTTTTCTCATTAATAGATGCCACATCAACTCTTTCCCATATATGATCATTGCAAATCTTATCTTTCCTTATATGCACACACATCCATCTCAACAGCACAACCATACCCTTGTTTAATGGATTGCAATACAAGACATAGACAAGAGTAAATGTAGTAGATGATTCAGATAGAGATAAGAAAGAAAATAATTGTTCTGTCATATCTTTCAAGAAGCTTTGGGTTTTTATAGATGCATGTTTTAGACCATTAATCTTCGGCTTCTTCTTTTAATAATGAATCCTGTCTTTCTAAGACAAGTTTGATCTCCAAGATCTTTGCTACTTTCTCTTTATCTCCCCTCCGACCAACCTTTTGTTCTCATTAAGTATTTATTTTGACCATGGGATTTTGTGGCAGTTGGTACGGTGCAAATTAATATTAGCAACTCCATCAAATTATCAACTCATTGAGCAATCAATAGGTTTGTAAATTGATCCAGAACAGCCAACTTATTCAGTTTAACTTTCTAGTTTAAACGTCCAGCACTTCCAGAATTTTTCATTCAAATTGCATCTCAATCAGCAGATAGAAAGTTAATTGCTGAGTGAATTAAAAGCCCATATCATCAGATGAAATGTTACACTCTCAAATTATAAAAATTCAAACTTCAGATATTTTTAAACCTTAACATGAAAATCTGTAAGAATCCCCACCTAGTTATCCAGAGGGGAAAAACATACCCTTGACAAGCCCATTACCGCCAAAGCTGCACAGACTACTTCTACCGTGCTAGGAGTAACGATATCTCAAAGAATTCAAGATCAATTTCGGGACAAAATATTGTGTCCTGTGTCCTCGCATCACTCAACATGCATACCGAAATATCTTCATTTTGTTACACACACATACATGACCAATATAAATTGCTACGTCAGCAAATCAAACGCAATGACACAGGCGCAGGCAACACACATTGATATTTTTCCCCTTGTATTCGTTACAGCACTTTGACAGTTCCTAAAACAATCTAAATGATAATGAGTTTACATTTTCAAAGGAAAACCCCCATGCATAAGTACAGGGAAAAAAACAAAAAACAAACGCGCAACAGAATAAGCATGGAGACCCAAAAGTATCAAATCACAAGAACAGAATCAGAAGAGCTAAAGTTACCCCATTTGGGTGGTCTGGGATGTGACAAGCGAGTGAGTCTGAAGTTATGATTGGACAAGAAGAGGCCTCCTCTCGCTGCTACCAGGAGCTTCTTTCTCATTTTCACTCCCCGCTGTTGTGGCTTGAGCTTTCCATGATGTTCACCACCAGATGAGAGGAGAGGAGACTTTTTTTTTTTTTTTTTGTTGGGGGGGGGGGGGGGGGGAGGTCGTGGTCTTAGAGAGGAGGGTTTTGAAGGTGAGGGGGACTCCTGCGTTGCAACGTTGAGTGCCGTTTCTGAAGTTCAAAGCCTTTGACACCCTGCCAAAAAATATAAAAACTTTGTGACTGATAAATGATAATAATTAACTATTGCGGTTGCCAAAAAATTTTGCCCCATCTCGACTCCTTTATAGGAAATATTAAATAATTAAGAATATTTTTTGAGCCTAAATATAAGAAACAACCAAAGTACATAACAGGGAGAATTATTTTAAAATTTCACTCAAAAACAAGTAATTATTCTCAAGTCGGTTGGCAAATGAACTTAGAAAATGTTGTATTGTTATTTTCCTAAACTCAGGCACTTAGTTGTTAATATACCTAAAAGTAATTAATTGTTATAAATGGGACTTGTGTGTAATTCTTATTACATAATATGCATCTATAATAAATTTTCTTTTTTATCTTATTAAATTAATTTAATTAAGTTAAATTACTAAATACATAATCACCATGTCAAACAAGCATTTTGAAAAGAAATTAAATCCCAAATATATTTATCGGTCTCAATTGCATTGATTCTTATGATTTAGTTATTTTTTTTTAACAAATATTTGATATTTGAAGGGTGCAATAAATTGACGAAAAAAGTACTAAGTGGCTTGGGCGAGAAAAATGTCTTTTTAAGACCAGAATCAAGAATATCCCTCTCTCAGACTATTAAAAAAAAAAAAGAGAGAGAATATCCCTCTATCAGTTTTTTCCCCTTCCTTTTTGAATAAAACTATTTTTTTATGATGGCTGCTTTTAACTATAGTAATAATATTAATTGAAAACAATTTTTTAGTCTAAAATAAGTTACATAACTTTTTTTTTTGGGCCAGCAAAATAAGTTACATAACTGATGAGTTACTAAAGATTGCCATTATATTAGATATTTTGCATTAGAGACACATATAAATAGATATGCACAAACTTTTAACTTAATTTAACTATGCCAATAAAATCGTTAACTGGACTCTGGTTTACATATCTAAAATAAATTGCATTGTTAATAATTAATGAACACTAAGCCGTGTTTAGTATTTTATATTAATTATTGATTGATATACACATTAATTATAAAATAGTGACTATACTTACATCCAAGAATTTCACAGCAAACATTTCAAAATTCACAAATTATTTTGTACACTGAACTATATAAAATTCCTCTAAGAGTACATGTACATCTCACTAGTTGGGCCCAAGCTTTATGGTTTTCTTTTCTTTTCCTTTGTTTTTTTTCCACCTCTGGTTGTATGTGGTATTCCCTTTTCTTTCTGTTTTGAGGTTTCCACATTCAGATTTCAGAGCTTAGTCCTGCATGGAGCAGAGTTGCTTTTTTGCTGCATAGAAAATAATATATGAAACCTTTTTGCATGGTGAATATCTGCTACAAGGATGAACCATATTGTTATCTAGGTTGGTTTTCAAGAAAAGATATGCAATACAATGAACAACATAGAATAAATACTATTCAAGTATTCGTTCTTCACTTTTGCTTTTTAAAAAGTATTAGTTCTTCCCTTCGGATCTGAGTGTAGCTTTTCCTTGGCTAATGATAGCATCCATTCCTCAATGTCCATTTTATATTTAGTATTCCCAACACAAGCAACAAATGAGGGACAATTCATATAAACGCCAAATGAAGACAGGAATAGAACAATATTATAAGTATGCTATACATCTATACTCTGAGTTTGCCTGTAAAATCTAGCGACCCAAGGAGCAAGTTCAGTATTGTGAGGAGTCCTGGGGTTGGCAGAGTAATAATCAGACCAATAGCATGGGGTGAGTCTCTCAGTAAATCTTTTGTCAGCATAAATGCAAAACGGCAACCAATTTTCACCTCCATTCATTCTTCTTTTCCTTTCCCTTGGGTAAGCCAAGGGTGCTTGCACATACCTGCCAATTTGTGTCAGACAACACTTTTACTACCATATTTTCTGAGTCACTTGAATACATGTAAAATATGAATTCCCTTCTATCGTTTTCAACTTAGACATTCGTAAGGATCAGATAGGCTGCGTTGAAACATATAAATACATCGTGTGGTTATTTGGTACTTCTAGGTAACTTCTAGGTAACTAATAGCATATTCATAAACCAGTCTTTCCTATATTATTTTATTTCTTGCGATTAATCCATGCCAGGATAAAAACAGTCCATTCTCGGATACAGATACACGCATAAGTGAAAGTGTTGACTGAGTGTGACGCAGAAGTTATTCCTGCCGGAGGGGGAAAAACTATACGTTTTGAATACTCAGTGCCAGGAGCTGGTCTAAAGAGAAGCCACTCCAGAAAAAGCACCAAAGAAACTTCCCTTAGTTTTTAGCATATTAGTGATATGCTATAAATGTAATCAAGAAAATTTGCTCGCTAGAAACATGAAACAAGAATTACCTGATACCATCAATATCAGCATCCCAGCAGAAGTGGGTATGACCAAACACATGGCAAGAAGATGCATTCCCTCTTCCCTCCGCCCCATGTATTGACCTTATTCGAAGTTCAAGAGAGTCTGAACCAATTATTTTTGGAAGCCTGGGATAGAATAACATCCTCTTCTCTGGACAAAGTTCCTGCCTGTGAAAAAAATAAGCAGTACGTTAGCCTTCAATCAAATTAATACCTTAATTTTCGTATGACAAAGCAACATAAATGTTTGAAATGTTTGCAGTTTAAGTTGCCCGCTCCCAACAAGCAAGATACATCACAAAGCAGTAGTATAGTGTTAATGAGAATTATGCCCATCCATGTCATTTTCTTCTAGAAAGTGACTTGCATATAGTATTGAAGGGAGTACAATTTATGAGGTAACAACCTGGGAACAAAGTGGGAAAAGGTAATTATGTGACCACATGTCATCTGAATCTCCTTTATCGCTGTTTGTTGTCTTTCATTCATGCCATCAAAATATAAGGCAAGGGAGATATCCCCATTTGAAAGTCCCTTGGGCCATTTGCATGCATGAAAGTCCTTACATGCCTAACCAAAAGAAGGGGGAAGTATCGTAATTACAGGTTTACATCATTGTTGGTAAAAATAACAGCATTTAAATTAAAAGCAGACAAAAAGGGAACTTGCCCAGTTATTGACAGTTGTGAAAAGTTATACATAACCAGAGTGACATGGAAATAGAATTACTGATAGAATTGTTATCAGAACTTTAATGCCTTTGCAAGTCTGTTCACAATTGCACATAGAATCTGAGTAACAGACACAATGAAAGAATAAATTCCGAATTTTCTGTGCATGGGGAAATAAATCTTGGCCGCACGTTAGTTGGAAATTGAATGCTAGATCTAATGTCCTGTTTAGATAGATAAATTAGAATTATCACATTGAGTTAGATACATCTATAAACAAAAGTCAAGGAAGACAACTGGGATTTTGAATTCATATAATCGATAAATAAAAACATGGAAAATATTTTCCATTTCGGGCAAAGCCTCACCTTCAAAAAAAAAGTAAAACGATAACTTCCTTTTGTCTAACCCAACCTCATAAATCATTCCTAACATCACGAGAGCAGAACACATATTGCCTATCTTCACTTTGCTTCATTTTAGCCAATTATAATGCTTTCTCTGCCCTCATTCTTCAATTTCCAATAATTGAATCAAATCACAAAATTCTTTCACTTCGCATAAATATTGTTCAAACCTTCTTTCGTTATTAATCATGTCATGGAGTTCATAATTCCATCAAAGCATCACAAAAAGGTATCTAGCTTTGTTTGGTTCAAGACTCATCTACCATGGTTTATATCTATGTTTTACGTTTGATTTCTTTTATTTATCATGGCGGTTCCCTTGGCAGGTGGCAGCAAGCAAAAAGAGATCACTCTTCAAGCTGAATGGCCGCACAAATGTTCTTGAATAACCCATGTCTCTACCAACAAATAAATTGCCTTAGGCATGTGATCTAAATTGGACCTTGCCCATGCAGGTCAAGACATCTGTAAAAGAAACAACCATGTATATCAAAATTAAGGGAAACTATCTAACCCAATAGTAATTAGATGGTGGCGTCAGGATAGTGATTTTCAGGGTAGTTACCTACATGGTATTGCCATATTGCAGCAGGTAATAATTTTTGAGGTCTTGAATATATTACGCTTTAACAATGAATAAAATGAAAATGCAATATCGTTGTCATCAATATATCATATATCTGCATAAACAAGAGAATATTGTGCAGTACACTGAACCAGTTAACCCTTTAACGTAAAAAATGAAGAGTGTACTCGGGTCATCAATCATTTCTTCAAATGGCTTACTATGAGTTAATAGAGTAGTCACCATCTCCAAAGACGGAATGCGAATGCCAGCTATATCCTGCTCTTTGTCAAAGCTCTGTGAAACAAGCAGATCGGGCGTTCAAACAAATTGCCTCTAAGCAACACTTTTTCTTCAAAAAAAAATTCTGCTAGGCTGGATGAAAATTGACATTATCAAAGCAATCACCTCATGGTACCAAGAGAACAAGGGAATGATTCCTAAGTCATCAGTAACCATTGGATTTGTCTCAACTCCAAGACTCTTACATGCATCAAGCAATTTATTTAGCTTTTCAAGCGAATCAACCTGGAAAAAAAAATTAGCCAAATCATTTTCAGAAAGATAATATTCTGATCAAGACAGAAAAGATTCAGGAACAAGCATCAACATCGATAACATTTTAACCATGTAACAAGTATGCCATTAAAATTTGTGAAAATAGATTTCAAGTTGTCTCGTATCAAAAGAAACATAAAGCACCAAATTATCCGTGATTTCAAGTTAAAATAAACCAGAGACACTAGGACAGGCGGGTTATACACCAGAAAGAAAAGTTAGAGGAGAACAATGACACATCACATCCTATTGTTAGTTCCGTTTCTTGCTGTTGTTTCGTTGATTTCCCAGTTACTATAATGACGGATGCTGCCTACTCAAAACTGTTGATGGATCTGACATATATAGCTTGTTTGATTGAAGAAACATTAGAGGATTCTATCAGATTCACATGCATACATTCATTATGAAAGATGTCTCAAAAAGTAAAGATAGCGATGAATCATGAGAAAAGGAATACAACAATAATTTGACCTTAATACATGAACTTAGACCTTATAGCCTAGGTATGGTAAATGAGCTTACATGATTTTCTCCCTCACGACGACACCAAAGATCATGGTTCCCAGGTACAAAGAAGACATGTTTAAATCTTTCCTTCAGTAGAGACAAAGTGACAACAAACATGTCATATGTCTCCGCAACATCACCGGCAACAAGAAGAACATCTTTCTTGTGTTTAACAGAGGATAAGCACTTTACCCACCTCATGTTCTCGGCATAGTCAGTATGCAAGTCTGAAACCACAAACACACGCAAGCCAGAAGTAACCCCCAGCGCAGATGGTAAAATCTGGGTCCTTCCAAGGTCAACCTTTTTCATGCGTGTTCCATGATTGTTTAGTAATCGTTGGGGAAAATAGTTGGAATAATGAGGCAGTTGTGAGGGTGTCAAACAAGAACTGAGGCCCACCATTAGCTCCAACGGTGAACAGTACGTTCAAATGTAGTACAATAATCAGAATTCACCACAAGATACCACCAGGTACACCAAATCACAAGTCAATTGATAATGATCTTTCTACTGGAAAAAGAAACAGAAAGACAAAACAAAAGGCCTTAATCAGTGTCCGGTTGCTTGACTTATGGTATACAAAGGAAAATGCTCGCATTGTCTGAATGAACTCGAAGATGTAGATGAACCCTAGCTCCGGATGACTTTGCTAGATAATATGATATAGTAATGTGCTTTTGGCTCGTAAACATTTCTCATACTCAATTCAGGTCATTTTAAATCTGACTTATGAATAAATGTATTGGAACCATCAAACAAACTACCCAAAATCGAAATCTGCAAATCGAAACATAAGAAGTTAAAGGGAGAGAAAAGTACCTTCTATGCTTTCTTCTTGAATCAGGACACCGCAACTTCTTTGTTTTAATAGCAGAAAAGCAATTTTCTATATTTCCCAATTTCGGAAAACTGCAACTACCAGCTGAATTATCGTTGGCAAAATTTGTCAATTGATAAAATAGCCGAGGATACCAGGGTCAGAAAATTTCTCTTTAACTTGGGCCAATTCCATCAGTCAATTGCATCAACTTCGATGGCAGTGAGTTCGGTTGAACTAAGAACAAAAGGAGAGTTTTGCATGGAATTAAAATTGGAATCCAAATAATAAAAATCGAATTAAATTACAAAAGTATGCTGAAAATGAAATTCAAGTATAATTTTAATAAATATATATTTAAAATTAAAACAAAAAACAAAAAACAAAAATGCCCCGAACAACAGCAAAATGGAAAGCTCTTCTCTATTCCTCTCCTTCACCGTAGATGGCGACAAACCATGTCCATCAAACTAGAGCAAGAACCCGGCCGTGAGCAAATCAAGAGCAAGGACATTGCAAATAACCAATCATAGAGCAAACAAAAAAATCTACTAGAAATCAAAACTTGAAAATATGGAAATGTCATCAATGGAATGCAACAAGATTAAAGAAGATGAAAGGTAGAATTGAAGATTAGAGGTAGAACTTAGATATCTATAAAGATCATATAATAAGTCTCACATCGGAAAGTTTTACAAGTGAAATGGAAATTTATAAGTGTCAGGAACTTTTCCATCCAATACAGGCTAACCTTTTATGATGGGATTTCCCTTATGCTTGTGCTTATACTCATGACATTTATTGTATCAAATTTCACATTGAGAAGCCTTACAAGTGAGGTGAGGTTTGTAAATGTGAGGGGCCCTTTCACTTAACAAACTAATCTTTTGATAGGGGCTCTCTTTTTAAGCTTATATTCATGATATTGATGCTTTCATTAAGAGTCCGGTATCACAAAAAAAAAACTACCATAGAAGGTTCTAATTGGCAAAAGGCCAAGTGAAGTGTCGCGAAGTAGAACCGCCAAAGATATCAACTATCAATGGGGGTGACATTATAATAAGTCCCATATCAAAGAGTTTTCATAAGTGAAATAGAGTTTATAAGTGCGAAAAACTCTACCATCCAATAAGCTAATATTTTAGGATGGGGTCCTCCTTTTAGGCTTGTACTCATGACAAGTCGCTAATGATGATGATGACAATTAAGACAAAGATTGAAGTCAAAGGAGGAGACCGATGTAGGCATTGAAGTAGGGTGATAGGGATGACCCTTATGCTGTCTACTACTACTCTGGTTCTTCATTGTCATTCTCCAAGTTTTGTTGGGGCTTCATCATCATCTTTTAGAATTGGGTCACGGCTTCACTTTTAGAATTGGCAACCTTGATTGCAGTGAAGGTGCAACAAGCGAGTGCAAAGGTGGAAATTGAAGTTTGAAGGATGACGAATTGAAGGGCAAAGATGTCCTCTAAAATAATTCCATGAAAAAGCCTCAATTCTATTATGGGTAGCAAAGAATTTAATTCTAACCTTTTTCCTTGAATTATGATTCTTGGGAATTCAAATTGATTTGTACCAAAAGCACTTGCATTGGGATTCCATCTCTGATTTTGTTTCCTTCTTTATAATTCAATAGTACCAAATACAACTTCAATTCTAATGTACTCAACACTTCATTTTTACAATTTCATTTCCCTTTCAACAATTTCAATTCTTGTATACCAAAGAAGACATAAAATCCTAGAGAACTCTATCAAGGTTGTATTGAGATGTAAGAGAGTGTTCGCATCCTCATATGGTTGCTAATTGTTCTTTTATATTTTAGGCTAGCCTTATTTACTTATTTAAAAAAAATTTAAAAATTATAAGTGCCACTTCATCTTATGTGTTTAAAATACTTGTTTAATTAAATCAATACACATGAATATGATCCTTTATATATTATTCATTCTATAAAAAAATTTATTATGAATGCATTAAAACCCACTTAATTTAATTTGGTGACATAACAATACATCAAGCACACAAGATTAAGTACTCAAGGCTTGTCATTTATTTAATTTTTACGGCGTTAAACAAGGTATATAGATTAGTATTAGTAAAATAATATTCTATGAATTAAGTAGATGTAGCATAGATGGTAGTAGTTTAAGTCCCTTAAATATCATTTCAGGATTCAATTCTTAAATGTTTGTATGGGAAAACATTTTTTAGGAAAGAATGACCCCTCAAATGGAGCTTGAATTTTTTGAGAGTTAATCTCATAGTTGCCAGCTTTAGAGATATTTTTGACAAAAAAAAAAGTAAGTCTATAAAATGTGAATATTATTTTATTTTATTTTCGTTGTTAGATAAATCTAATCTATACAGGTTGTGCACTGTGAAGGTCTAAAATTAGGTAAAAATGGAATAATTGATAACTGACCACATTTTAAATTAAATTCTCATAAAAACAATATCCGACTACGAATTGTACTTGTTGCGATCCATGAACTTATGAAATCTTACATGGTTCAATATGTTGAGCAACAATAATACATGTGGAAGTTCGCTAACAACAACAACAACAATACATGTGAAAGAACCACTGAATTAGGATTAATGGCTTGCAATGTGTTAATAAATTTAGTTAGAGTTGGCAAAAAGAAATAAATTTATGCAGAAGCAAAGCACATCAATTTGAAGGTAAATTAAGTTTATTGCATTAATATTAATATTAATAAATAAAAACTTAAATATTGTTAGTGGGGGACTAAGCACCTTTATATGAGGTATTATATTTAAATAATCCTGGGATGAAAACATGGTATTTGAAGAACTTTTTCTAGTTAGGCTAATTACGGTCGATCAGACTCAAATTCAAAATTAATGAATAATTCTATATTTTAGAAATAGTTTGTTACAGGAAAACACAAATTTAATTATTTTTTAATTAATTATATTCACCTTATTTTTTATAATGATCAACCAAAATGCTTTTATTTTAAGAAATTAATAAAGCTCATGAAGGAAAAAAATGGAAGCATAATAGTCTCATATAATTGATTAAAATACGTATTCTTATGTTTTTAGATTAACCAGATTAGCTCGTGAACCAAGTGTTTTTCTATAAAAGTTAAGATGAAGCATATTTATGAGCTATGAATAATATTTCAGTTAACTCCCAACCAGGAAGGATCACACTTTGCATGCGACGTGCAACTCTTATGTTGTACCTGGCATGAGAGAAGAATAAAGCAAATGAAAAAATGATTGCTTGGTTAAGGAAAGAAATATAAAAAAAAAATTAAAAAGAAAATAACATATTTAATTCACCTATTTTTACCGCTAACTTTTTTCTCCAAATATAAGGAGATTTTAAAGAGAAAATAACATTTCTTGTTAGTTGCCTTGCTCCATTTTCATCCTAATTTTTTCTCCACTTTAAAATTTAGATTATTATTGTTCGCGTGTGAACAACAAATAGCTAGAGACGATGAGTCTCAATTAATAATAAAAAGGTCTCGAGCTCCCCTATCACAATTCATTCGGATATAAAAGATATGCAAGACTTGATAAAACAAGTGTTTTTAATTTTTACTAAAATGTGAAAAGATTACAAGTCTAATTTGACAATGAAAACTAACTGCTAAACCAAAAAGCTATGAGTGCAGAATACGAGTCTTTGTTGAGTGTTAATTGTCTTTCTTTTGTGTCTTCATATTTTATTTATAGTGTCAGAGTGGTAGTAGCCTTTCCTTTAAGACTTAAAACATTCTGCCGAAGAATCAGGGATTCCGCAAAACTCATGGCATAATCTTTACTCAATGTTTTTCATTTTTGGCAATCAGCCCATCTCACCGAGATACTTAGGCACGATGTCTGTGAATTTTGGAATCACTTAGGATCGTGCCTTTATGTGCCAACGATTCAATATCTGTAACTGGCAGGATTTCAACATGTTTATCCTATCATGGCTTTCTATTGAGCTCGAGGTGGCCCCTTCATTTGGATTGGGCTTGACTCTTCAGTTATTCAACCTAAATAGCTTCGTGACTTATCAAGTGACATTTCACATTTTAGCCTAAATAATGCCCCCGCATGCTAGTGGCTAATAACATAAATCACGTGGCACATTTGAAAAAACTGAAACATCGCTTCGTTTTTGAACACCCTTAGTTAATATAAACTTATTTCTTTTTTTGATCACTTCTTTTGCCCTTCCTGTCATTTCTTAACGTTTCATCTTTTGCATCCCTTGCTCTAGTCTCCCTTTTGCTCACAAATGGCTTTCTCTATTGTTGCCACTACCTCCACTACTACTCCACCTACTAATTCTACTAGAAGTCTACCTGATTCCCTAGCCACCATTCAGAATCTTGTAGCTTTGCTGGGAGGATTGATGATGGTATGTATTTGATTGTTAAAACTCATATTTCCCCTGGATTAGGTTCTTATTTTGATATCTCCTTATTTTCACTTCAGGAGGATTTCTCATTCCATGATTCTATCGCCTCCTGGTAAGCTCTTCATTTTTTTTTTATCCTTTTGTTTTATTTGAGATAGAAATGCTAACTATTCATTATTTTTTCAATACTTCTCCCTAGAGTTTCCAAATCTCCAACAAGAGTGATGTCAGGTATCTAACCATCTCTCCTGACCTATCTGAAGTGACTACTCCTATCTAGTTAAATCCATGGCCACTGACCTTAATTTGCAACCTAATTCCAACCTGGACGACCTCGCCCTTTCCTGAGTTGTCTTGCCAAGAGCTTCAGAATTGGCCTTGGTCTCCTTACACTTAAACCAATTGGGTGAAATGTTTGAAGCAAACCCATGCACAACTGTAGAAAGAGATGGGTCTCTCTAACCTTATTCAGCTTTCTTTAGCCAATGTTGACATTACGATCAACCTATTGATAGCCCTTTTAAGCTTTTAGGTACCAATTTACAACTCCTTTATCTTCAAGCTGAGTCCTATATCAATCACATTGTGGGACATCTTCATGTATCTAAGGCTGCCAATCACTAAGGAGGAGAACTTCTACGCTATCCTTAAGAAGCATGACTCCTACGTCAACCTCTCTGTCACTTAGAGAGCAAAATTAGGGGTGCTCGCTCCTACACAAAAATCATAGAGCTATTCTTTAAGAAACCAGTTGATAAGCCCGTCATCCCTACTGAGCACTTGGTTTTTATTTAGATCTTGCTGAGCTAATGGATCCTGGCCCCAGGGGAAGGAAAGCTTGTGCAACTCCACTTACGGATCACTTAGTCCTTTCTTTGCAGCAATCAAGTGACCTTGGGGACCATGTTTTTATGCTAATTGTATGACAGTATGAGGGAGTCCTTAATGAAGAAGCCTTTCAGCAACTTCGACGAGATCATCTGATTCCTGAAACGATGGACTACCGCATATTTCCCTCTACTCTACCAAGAACCTTTCCCAAAGGATTCTCATGCTAACCACCCTTTCACTTGCTTATTGGGTGGTCATCCTCTGACCGAGTCA